CCCCCCCCCCCGCCACGCCCCGAAGCTCTGGGTGGCCGCTGCAGCAATGCAGGGACAGAGGGCTCATCAGCAGCAGCCTCTTTCATAGGAGAGGTGAGGCTCAAATGGATTATCAGTTTGGGGAAATGCTAGAAAAACCACCAAGTGCTGCCCAGCAGAGTGCTGTCCAGTGGAAAGTGTGGTAATTATGGAACTAAATAGTGTGCATTTGCTTAATGTATGCCCGAGGTAAAGCCCCGAGAGGGCTGGAGTGTGTGTGACATGCTGGGGACTCTGCCATCAGTGACTGAGGGCCTGGCTTTCCGGAACCCCACAAAGATGTGAGACCTTTGTGCCTCTGCACAGGGCTGGCTGGGGATCACTGCAGACCTTTGCAAACCGGGAAGGACTGTGCCCAAGTGGGCAAACACTGCCTCACTCAGCCTGGCCCACAGCACCCACGGGACCTGGACTGGCAAATCAGAGGCATATTCAAAGCCGTAACCCAGGAATTTCCTGGGTGTTTATGTCCATCCATCTTCCTTTCCATTTTTTTCCATCCTCTCCTCATTTATGACCCTCTGCTACCCATATTTTGCTAGCACCCCACTCATCCAACTCTCCTTCCGTTCCTCCTTCCTTGTCTGTCTTTCTTCCTCTCCCATGGCAGACTTCCTTAAACGGAGAAACACACATATGTCCCCTTATAGTCACATATATTAGACACAATTTAGATTTGCGGTTGAGTGCCTGTTCAGGAAAAATAGGGTGAGTAAAGGGGGAAAAGTGCCAACCTCAGATGCTCTGACCTGTATCACTTAGGTATTTGGGGAGACAGAAACTCATACAGTTCTGCTCATATCTTTCCATCTTTAAAAGATACAGATTTGTGGAAGGATAGCTATAGTCACAACTGCCCAGCTCTGGATCAAACCACTCAGCTGAGTGGCTGTGTCAACATAACAGGCTATAGGGACCTCCCATCTCCTTCATGGACAGCATCCATGCTGGTCTTCCAGGTTGTGCTTACAATTTTGAACCACAGGTGCCGATCAGGCTCTCTTCAGTCAGCTCTCTTTTAAGAGACTCTGTCCCTATTCACATGCCAGCTAATAGAGGGGGTCTAAGCGGCATGTTTGTTCCCTGTGATCTGTGCCAACACCTGATTGGCCCACAGGTAGACACAGGGACCAAGCTGAGCCAATCAAATTCTTTCTCCCAAGAATTTGAACCAAGAGCCAAAGGTGAAGGTTTGATCAGTGGTTCTCAAGAGTGGCTAAAATGAACAAATCAGGAGACTATAGATGCTGGCGAGGATGTAGAGAAACGGGAACCATCTTGCACTGTTGGTGGGAATGCAAACTGGTGCAGCCGCTCTGGAAAACAGTGTGGAAGTTCCTCAAAAAATTAAAAATAGATCTACCCTATAACCCAGCAATAGCACTGCTAGGAATTTACCCAAGGGATACAGGAGTGCTGATGCATAGGGGCACTTGTACCCCAATGTTTATAGCAGCACTTTCCACAATAGCCAAATTATGGAAAGAGCCTAAATATCCATCAACTGACGAATGGATAAAGAAGATGTGGTTTATACATACAATGGAACACTACTTGATAATGAGAAAGAATGAAATCTGGCCATTTGTAGCAACGTGGATGGAACTGGAGAGTGTTGTGCTAAGTGAAATAAGTCAGGCAGAGAAAGACAGATACCATATGCTTTCACTCATATTGGATCCTAAGAAACTCAATAGAAGACCAGGGGGGA